GCGGCCAGCGCTGGGAAATCATACTATCAAGTAAGGCCCACTGGCGTTCGACACAACGCTCGGTAGTACCCCCGCCTACTGTCTGGCACAGCTTCTTATGTGCAAGAATAGCGGGGTACTTCAAGTTCGCATCGATAAATTAGTAGTCTGAGAAAAACAACATCGGAGCACAAAATGTTACCTGAGATTTCGACTCGGATGTCCGGGTTTGGTGCCGGAGTCGAACCCTCTTCGCCGGAGGTACAAGCGACGATAACGTGACCACGGCGCTCCAGTGTCCTACCGTTGGAAGAAGCAACCATAGGCACGGAACCTGGAATGGATCAAAGTGGGGTGTAGATGTGGGTCCTATGCATATGGTATGCCATGCGGTGGAGGCGCGGGATCATGTTGCAGAGTCCAAGGCAACGGTGTGACGCAAATAAGTAGTGAGTTCCCCGGTTTGAAGTTTGAACCCAACTCGGAGGGGCGAGTCGGACTCGAATACGTATCGCAAGGGAACAGATCTGATGGGGCCAACGCAGATGGTAGGACTGGTAGAGTAGCCTCCTTGACTTTGATGTACTATCATGTAGTCCAGGCCGGAAGAAATCGAACCAGATTTGAACCCAGACTCCAGACTCGGATCCGGCCCCGGCCCGAGGTCCGTTAGCCTCCGAAGTTCCCACGCTCGGCCAACTTCCACGTGTTTCCCCGATCTCCGAGGATCACCGGCATCGAGCGTCCGACGTCGATCATACGACCCCAGCTTCCCCGCATCCTCCCTTTCTCTCACTCGACACCCATTGTCTCGCTCTCCGCAATTGCAAGCGGTTTTCGTCCTCAGAGACGAGGGACGGATTTAGAAGAAGAGGAATATAACGGATACAGAATCGTCGTATTGCATCGACCCGTCACCCCACGAACCCCACGAACGAAAGCTGAAGCTAGCGCTTGACCGAGACTACTAACTATTTCCAACATCATGGTGCGTCCTGTCCTTCCCTTCTCCTGCCTTCATTGGCTCGATGCTCATTGACTGAATGAAACCTCACACCAAACGCAGTCCGCCTACCCCGCCTTCGCGATGGGCGGCCTCTGTATCGCGGGCGGCGTCGCCGCTTTTGCACGGACGCGCAGTCTCCCGTCGTTGGTGGCTGGGGTTGGGTGAGTGTCCATTACTCAACCCCTCGCCTTCCCCGTGTCATTGACGGAATGAAACTGACATGACACACCCTCACAGCGTCGGCGCCGTCTACCTCTGGGCCGGCGACCGCATCCGCCGCGGCGAGGATAACGGCCTCGAGGCTGCCGTTGGTGCGTTGTCTTTGCCAATCCTTCTTCCGTTTTTTTTCTTCGCCATTTGTCGTTCCTTTCGATCCCTGCCTTCCTCCGTCCTCGCTCATGATCATGGCCTTTGCCCGACCTTCGGCACCCGCAAGCCTCCGTCCCGTGTTTTTCTCTCCTCCCTCTTCCCACCCTTCATCCTTTCCCTCCTTGAATCGAACCAACGCTGCCCTCGTAAACTAACTCATGCCACATGAATAAACTAACCCACTCACCCAGCCGCATCAACCCTCCTCCTCGCGTCCACCGCCCCCCGCCTCCTCCGCACGCGCACCCTCGCCCCCGGCCCCATCCGCGCACCCGTCCCCCGAACGCTCCCCGCGCTGCTCGCCGCCTCCTCCCTTGCGGCCGGCGGGTACTACGGGAAGAAGATCGTGCAGCTGCGCAGGATATGAGTTTTGTGTTTATGCGCTTAGGAGGATGCGAGAGAGGGATGGAGGGGAGGGAGGAAGAATGGGAGGATTCCTATACATATATTAAGAGACAATGAACACAGCCACCAGAAAAGTCACGTTTTACATGTGATAAAGTCACGTTTTCTTTCGCACGGCTCTGTTCCGCTTTTCCCTCCGAGCGTTTCCCACGTAGTATCCCAATTCGGACAACATGTCGCGACACCTCTTGCTCCTTCCCAGCATTTTCTCTGACTGATTTCAGGTACTTTATTCTCTTTCTTTCTCCTCAATTGAATGTGTCCTTTTCAGATCACTTCCTCCTCAATCCTCCCCACACAATTTGACTGTCTCTTTTGGGCCGAAGTTCAGGCTGCAACCTTGAAGGCTGTAACTATTTCTGTTTTGTACATTTTAAATGGTAATAGCCATTCCAATTTCCGTTTAACTTTACACTGTCGTCTAACGGTGAATGATAAAGTCACAAAATCTGTGTTGCAGTAAAGCTCAAAATCAACTGTTTTCCTCCGTTCCGAGTCATGGGTCTCAGATATCAGATATACCAATTCAGACACTGTGCTATCTTCTCAACGCCTCTGGCTGTCTCTATATTAGTGTGTATTTGCAACCCGCGAAATCGATGATTTTTGGTGACGAAACTCGGTTATCAATATCTGAAAGCCGCTTCAGAAACGGTGCTCCACAGCACTCGCTCAGCGAAAGTGAGCTACTGGGTGTTAGTGAGTGGGCTCATCAATTTGTGAAAGTCGGGTATCAATTTGTGAGATTCTCGCCAAAATGTGCTGCAAATACACTCTATTGTGCCTTTTAGTTGCTGCCTACTGTGCTCCTCAGTGCCCAGTCCCAACCTTCACCTTCCCATCTCCTCTGTGATCTCTTCCCTCATTTGCCTTTACATTTTTCTCAGTGATGGGCTCTCAATTGCAAGTATACTCACTTACATTCCATTCGATTCTAAATAAAAGGCTTCTGTATTAAACAGATAATGTCCACTGACACACCTGACACGGGGAAAGACATGACTGTGTCTTCCAGCCCAAGCCCTAAGATGCACCATCCGTCGAGAAATCTCAAAATTTGCCTGTCGCTCGGCCCGGGGCAGATGATGTTTCCAAACAAAGATCCAGACACAATGTCATATTTACAGTTACAATTACCAGATACTCTAACTGCTGGCTTCATTTCCTGATGCTATCCTAGGTGCATCATTCTAATATATACTGCTGTCAGGTCCAGCTCATATTCAACTCATATTCCACAGTAGGTCTGCATTAAATTTTTCGCAATTTAAAACCTGTTTTAACTACGTCTTCGTGCCTTTGTAAACCAGTTTATAGCGACTAATCTGCATAAAAGGACTGCAGAGAGTTCCATACCAAATATTTGCCAACAAATATCTACCAGAAGGAAAGGACTGAACAGTGACTGAACCTGGAACACAGATTCGGGGTGTTGTAGCGAAACTCGGAATCCGCCGTTTTTCTTCCGGGGTTTGGGGCGGAGCCCCAACAAGCTGTCGACCCTGCCGTAGGTACGGGTGCGAGCGCCAGCGAGTCGGCTGTGCCGAAGGCACGGGTCGTAAAGCTTGTCCTATGTATACATTAAGAGACAACGAACACAGCCACCACGTGAAGGTCACATGAAAATGAGCGTGCTGGGAAAGTTGCGGTGATGCGCGGAAAACGGGGAAACTCGGAATCCGGGTGTTGCGGCGAAACTCGGAATCCACCAGGTCGGCTGCGAGCGAGTTGAATCCCACGGTTGTCCCACGGCTGTTTCGTGTTGTGTTGGTGTTATGTACTTACTCCCAGCTGTTTCCGCCTCTGAGTCCGACAACCGTCACGGTCGGACAACGTCGGCATCCCAATTTTAACACTGCAATATTGCGACACCTCTTGCTTTTTTTCCGGTGTTTCCTCTGACAGTCTCAGGTATTTGGCTGTTTTCCTCTATCCTGTGCCTTTAAGCTGCTTCTATGCTCCTCAATCCTCACCTTTTTCCATTCCGCGCCGGTCACTTCCCCAAATATCAATTTTATAAACTGCTTTTGACAAGCCAACAGTGCTCATTATTCTTAATACTCAGATAAAGTTCGACTGCTCAAACTCCTTGCAAACCAGACATAGCCAGCCATACACTTCCTTTGTAATTTAATTTTTGTTACTAAATTGCAAGTATACTCGAAATAAGAGACTTCTGCATAACACCTTCCAAATGCTCACTGACACAGGAAATAAATAACTGTGTTCTTCAACCCTGACTTGGAGCAAGCCCCATCTTCCCTCAATCAATTCAAAATTTGCACACAGCTCAGGCAGTTGATGTTTCGAAACAGTTACAACTACCAGATACTTCAACTGCTGCCTGACTTCATTTCCAGAACCCAACGAGTTCAATCCTGAAGAAAATCCTGAGTGTTGTCGTATTGTTGCTGCCAGGTAAGGCTTTAACTGCAGTTCAATGATTTTAATCCTGTAGAAACTTCTGAGTGCCGTCGTTCTGTTGCTGCCATGTCCAGTTCAACTCCATAATAGACCTACCTTCAGTTCAACAGTCAGTTTGAAAGAGAATGTAGCCACTCACAGTCTTTCCGTGTCCTACCTGTTCATCGGGAATGGCAACTCTGTCCCTATGCGTAGAAAGACTGCGGAAAAAAAAACTGTACTAAAGTATCTGCCAACAAGTATCTACAAGCCTGAAATGTAGATTTAGGGTGTTGTGGTGAAACTCGGAATCCGTTGTTTTTCCCAACAAGCTGTGGACCCGCCGGAGGGACGGCTGCGAGGACAGCGAGTTCAGCCGTGCCGTAGGCACGGGTCCTAAAGCTTGTAGGAATGTATTGTATGTAGGAACAACCACTCACATGATTCGGAATTTGTAGACAGAAACACGCACACGATTCGAACACACGATGGAAGTTCAGTTCGCCACAAGCAACCTCTCCTGATTCTGAGTCCCCGCACCATACAAGATAACTCGGAGGTGGTGCACGGCGCACCTCTGCCCCCACTTTGTGTGTACGAGCAGGTTGCAAGCAGGTGATCTGGGTTCGACTCCCAGCGTCCGAGATGGTTTCCTCCGGGGGGTTTTTTTTTTTTCTTTTGGCTGACGTCGCTGAGCCCAACCTCTTCTCTCGCTCGATATATTGGACGTCGGTCAGCTTTTGGCAATTCCAGGCAACAAACTCCTGTGTTCTTTTTTCTGTAAGTTGACTGGCAATCACGCTGGGCAGAAAAAAGTGCTTTACTAAAATTCACACCATGCATCGTCGGGGAATCGAACCCCGTCCTCGGTCTCACAAATTTTAGTTTGACGAGCTCTACGGGAAGACCGTGGGCACCTTACCCCACAGATGCATTTCTTCCTCTGAACTAACCCCAAACAAGCTGCCATTTATTCGAGATTTATTCGTGTTCGTTGCCCCGCAGAATTAAGGTAGGTAGGTAGGTAGGTAGTATTACACGGCCGGTCCCGCTAAACATGGCCATGCTAGCGCTCCATATTCATACATGGTCAGAAAGTCGAACGGGCCCGAAACAAAAGTTCGCATACTTATTGGAGTTGTTACCGTCTGGCTTCACTTTAACAAATAATTTGCGCTGCACCGGGCTCAACACTCACTTTAAGTTTGGTCTGTATCAACCCACAAACTTTGCCAAAATGCACCTGGTGCATGCTGCGACAGAACAGGAAGAATATCTCGGATGTGGTGCGTGGTGCACGCCTGCCCCGATTTGCGAAGGGTATTAAGGATTGCAAGCAGGTGATCTGGGTTCGATTCCCAGCGTCCGAGTAGTGTTGCATTGTTTTTTTAGCGTCGCTGAGGCAAACCTCCGTGCACTTATGTATCCGCATATATCAAAATTCGCCCAGTCTACGTCTTCTTCCGCTTGAGTATTCTCCTCCAGGAGCACGCCTCCGAGTCTACTATGTTGATATATTTTGCTACGCAGGATCCATCCATGCAGACAAATTCGGTCCCAATGGAGGACGTAAAAAAAGCCGTAGAATACGAATTGAAACCTTGAGCTGTGAAGAGATCAAGCATTGAGACCAAGTGGCCATGGCAAGAAGACAGGAAGTGGCAAAGAGACGGTGTATGTACCGGTAGGATCTGGCCTCGGAAAGAGGGATCTTGCAGGATTCGCACAGCATGGGGGACTTCAATTCGTTATAGACAATTCAGAGGTGCGGATGAGTTGCGTCGGTATCGTGTTTATGGAGGGAGAGGGTTGGGAGAGGGAATGTAGGGGAGCCATCGAGGAAGAAGCAGTGGTCAGACGAGATCGAAGCAAAGATGCGGGTGCGACTCACCTTCGATCAACCTTTTATACTAAAGCTTGCGAGTTGAGGCCTGAGGACGTGAGGAGGATTAAGAGAGGGGAGGAAGAAGAAGAGCGGCAAATGCAAGGCAAACCCCGTGATAGCATCATGCGCCTCGTGTGAACGGCGTTTCGAATTCCGTTTTCGGCGAATTGGTTCAAGTTCCTTTGCTTCACAGTCAGGTCCATCCACGGCGATCATTATGCATCGCCAGAGAAGCGAGCCCTGTCCTCGGTCCCATAAGTATTATTTTCCCCGACAAAAATCATGGTTTTTTCCCCATCGTAGGCAGGCCTGCAGTACTACCGGCTCTGTATCGCACGCCGCTGGGTACCACTTCACAGAGCTGGCCGCTTCAGAATCTGCAAGAATAACAAGGTGCCTATAGTCAGCATCGGCACATCAGTGGTCTGAAAAATGAACATAGATACACAAGGTGTTACAGTCTTTAACCGGGAAGCGAAACTTACGGGGAAGCGAAACACTCTACTGTTCAGCACCTTAGAGTACCCTGAATGACCTCAGATTTTGGGATCTGACTCTCACCATTATCAAACTCATATTCACAGAAAGATTTGTGAAAAAAGGTCCTGTATCGGCTGCTATATTCACATTTCTTCTGGCAGTGATTTTTTATGGTTCAACTCACACAATGAAGGCAGAATAGCGTCGCTAATCCTGGCCGAATGGATGGTCAGTGGGGGTTTTCGCGGTCGCTCATCACGAATATGGATATGCCGTATGTTAAAATTGCAAGGATCCGTCGAAAACTGCATGTTTGCGCCGTTTCGCTTCCACGTGTTTGGCCAAATTTGGCCTCCTGGAAAGTTCACATTAGTTCTCCTCTACTACAGCATGTAATCCCGAGATTCTTTATGGTGGTGGGTAGGCAGGAGGGAGAGGAACAGGTCTACAAGAAAAAATGATGTCATTGGAGCCAAATTCCACCTGTAAACCGCCGCGCCGCTTCAACGTTTCGCTTCCCAGTTAAAGACTGTACCTCCGGATTCGGTTGCAAAAACTCCGACTTTGACCGGGGCGTTGGATTTGTCAGGTTGTCTGCCATCGACGACGTATGCTCTTTCTAAGTAATACTGAGCTCCCGCACCAGCTTCGACTCATTTCCCGTTCCACCGGCTTTCACTAAGCAAGCGGACTCGGGCGGGGCGGCACTACCTGAGATCTGGCTCCTTATAAAATGAGACGCGTGGCCATTAATCAACCAGCCATTGAGTTACCACATCCGCACCATGCAGTCCAACAACTTCACTTTTAACACCACCGCAGAAGAGGTCGCAGCGACCTTTGCCGACGAAATTAAAGGCAAAAACGGTACTACTGCTCCCTTAAAGCTGCCTGTGATGACGCTCACCGCGTTCTCACAGTTCTGATTACTGGCACGTCACTGAACGGAATCGGCTTCGAAAGTGCGCGCGTAATCGCAAAATATGCGAACGCGGTTATAATCACTGGCTATAATGAAGAAAGGTAATATAATCCTGCTGTACAGAACGGTAAACTGGGACTGAGCGTCCCACAAGACTGAAGCTCTCGGAAGACGTTTTAAAGAAGGAGATTCCATCCGCCAATATCCGCCGTCTGATTCTCGATCTCTCATCCTTGGCCGGTGTTCGCAAGGCCGCCGCCGAAGTAAACGCCGATGGCCAACCGATCCACGCATGTCACCTCCTCGTCTCTTTCTCTTTCTTTTTCTCAATGTTATAAGTACACAATTCAGATCCTCATCAACAACGCAGCGGCACCATTCGTCGCCTTCAAGCTCACCGTGGACAACCTGGAGAACCAAATCGCCACCGACCACGTCGGGCCGTTCCTCTTCACCAAGCTAATTACACCCAGCATACTCGCATCAGCCAGTGCCCAGTACACCCCGCGCGTCGTGTTTGTTGCGAGCGATGGACACAAGTACTGCGACGGCGTTGACCTCGCCGCCATCAGGAAGCCCGATCCCGCTGCGTACAACAATAGTGTCGCATACGCGCAGGCCAAATCCGCGAACATCCTCACCACGATCGAGCTGGCCAAACGTGCGCGGGGGAAGCTGAATGCTTATGCTGTGCATCCCGGTGGTCAGCTTTGCTACTTTTCAGCGGATGGGATTATTTTAACAATATCTCAGTCATCTTTACAAATCTAACCCAACACCCTGATGCGGTCCCTCAGCTGAAGGCCATTGGTGAGGGGTGTTCAAATTGTTCCTCCGGTCAAATTCGCTGACAAGGATTATTTGTTGAAGGCCTCGTGGACGAGAATGGGCAGCCCAGCTCCGTGAATGTGACCTGGAAGACTATTCCGGAAGGTGCAGCAACGTAGGCGCTCTCTCGCTCAGACCATTCTTCCATCCCGTCTTCATCTCTTTTCGAATAGTACCATCGCTGCTGCATTTGACCCTAGTCTCAATGGTGAGAAGTACACTTGGCTGCCTGCGCTTTCACGGTGCTGACACGACCGATGTCAATTTCAACTCAGATAAATCCGGAGCGTACCTTTCGGACTCTAAAGTGGCGAAGGATACCGTTGCGCCACACAGTAGCGACCCGGTTAGTTCTGTTTCTTCATATCTATTCTGTGAGCTGATTGATCTGTGTGTGGTCCAGAAGCGCGCCGAACAGCTGTGGACCCTCACTGAAGAAATCATTGGAGAGAAGTTTACGTTCTGAATTTGGGGAGTTTGAACTCCTGGCATCACACATACATACAAATCTAGAGTTTTAATTCGATGCTCCTACCTCGCGCAACGTAGCGTTCGAGATTCAGTCACAGCACTATGTGGGGAAGCCGAGAAAAAATCGTTCCAAGTGAAACCCTGTCGGGTATCGGTCAACTACCTACAGTTCCCCTTGAGTTTGCGCTAGTCTGATCACATTCGCGGACGATGCGTACAGTGTGCAGTTCAAGTTGAATTCTTTTTTTTCGTCTATGATTCTATATAATAAGCCGCTACACACTAGGTAGGTATGCCCGCGGTACGATATGTTTGTAAGTAGGGATACGATATGTAAGTCCACGATACGATATGTAAGTACAGTACACCACAACACACTACACAATGTCGAACATAAAACACTTGATCGTACCAGAAGTTCTCACCGGTCCACTCGATTTGATTTTACACCTCTAACCCTTGCTTTCAACCACACCTCCACCGTCCTCAACTGGAGAGGCCGCGTGCGTGATCGTCCTCGACGACGCCGCGCTCACTTCCGCGGCGGGTGCACGACTCTCCTTTTTCAACACAGGCGCGGTCCGGGTAATGTCGTCCGGGTCCCCCTCCCCATCCTTTTCGCATACCTCAGTCAATTCATCCTTTTCATTCTCCGCGGTGAGGCTTGGAGTTGCGGTAAGGGCTGGAGTTTCACCACCCGCGGTGAAACTGGGAGTCACACCCGCGTTGATATTATGTTGCTGAACATCCACATCCGCCTCAGCGTCCGAGTCGAACCCAAGCTCCCGTCGGCGGCGCTTTGCGGCGCGCGGGTTGAGGATGAGGGCGGCGATGACGACGATACCGTCGAGGAGCTTGATAGAAGGTGGGATGAGGGTGGTGCTGAGCGGGTTGTGAAAGTAATGATGAAATCGAAAAACAAAAGGAGGAGGTTTGGGTTTGGGTAAATTATTATTATTATTAACGAAAGGAGATGAGAAAGAAGACAATGAATGGAGAGAGCAGGAGCGCAAGAGATGAACACGATGAACGCACAATAACCACGGAATATGTGATGCCCGCGATCACGTCAAACTCCTCTTTGAATACGAGAGAAAGGTCCGAGAACACGCCTGTTGCAATCAGCCATCTAAGCAGTGCCTCGTATTTTTTCAACACAAAACCAACAGATGCGTACCTCCCAGTAAATCAACTACAATAAATGAGATCGAGATACCAACGACCTCCTTGTGGCGCCAGATCTCTAAATACTGCGGGACGAGGGCGAGCGAGATGAGGACCGAGCTGAAGATTCCGAGGAACTGCACGCCGCGTTTTGCCGACTCTTCCCCCGCGTTGTACCCCGGGCGCAGCGCAAAGACCATCGCGGCCTCGAATCCTCCGATGAGCAGCATGATGGTGATGGCCATCACGGTGGCGGCGAGGCGCGAGCGACTCGCGTCGTAGTATTGGCACTGGTTGTGAAAAAAGAACGATTAGTTGTAAAAATGATGGGAAGAGGGAATTGGAAATGAAAGACGAACCTGGCCCCAGGATATAAGTGCAAGAACACCGAAGAGCTGCGGCTGCAGGATGAGCGGGATGTTGAGGTTGAGTAACAGCGCGTATGCGCCGAGGAATCCACCGGAGCAGCCCCACACCAAGCTACATGTTCGCCAGTGGTGTTAAATGATACATCAGTTTTCTATCCGGGCGTACACGCGACGACGCACACAAGCCACGGCGAGAGCCCAGCCGTCGATTTTTCGCGCCAGCTCTTCCAGACCTGCGGGATCATCTGCGCC